ATTCCCGAGAAAATATTTTTGGCAGTAATACTGTGTACAGAAACCTGAGTGCATCCAGTGTTGTACTGATTTTTAGAAAAAGGCTTTGAAAGGCCTCTTCTATGCAAGTGGAAGTCCTGTTAAGTCAAGGAATAATCCCTTGTCCCAACTCAGCTGGGCCCGTGTATGAAATTTGTTGAGTGGAGGCTTTGCCAGTGTGCTTTTTGGTACCTTTCCTGTTACTGTACACTATTAAACACACCATCTATAACACTGCTGACGCTTTTGAGAAAGCACGCAGGATCACTCTTGAGGAGAAAAGATGGCGCAGAAAGAATCGTGCCTTGCAGAGTGTACCACTTGGGGAGTCTTTCTGCTGTGCCTTTTGCAACCGGACATGCCTGTCTCGTATTGGCCTTTTTAGCCACCAGCGCGCTTGCAACAAGCGTGGGTAGAGCCTTCCCAAATCTTTGTTCGCAAAGCCCAGCCATGACACTATTAAAACCCACATAACAGAACCCAGATAATTGCCAATATAATTCAAGAATTTTTACTTCTCTTTCAATCTAGTTTTTTTTACTGGTTGCTTTCCATTAGCCATCATTCCAAATACCTACACTCGACACAGCGTAATCAAAGTGCTAACCTTCTATATACAATGTCTTGGCTACAAGATAGGGGTCATTTTAAAGGCCATTTAGCAAGCTGTTGATATCCTGACTTACACTTTGAATCTTCCAAACAAAAAGCTTAAAATTGTGATAGTATTTGGATGGGAATTTTCTGAGGAACACAGATATGCTACACATAATGATTTAGAATGTAACATATATACCTCTTCATTTCGTTTCAAGAGCACATTATGAGTTCAGCAGACCCTCATTCCCAGGTGCAAGAACTGCAGTGTTAAATGTTTTAATTGTCTAAATACCAAATTTTATAATTAATCATATTTCTATGTAAATTCCCTATGGAATATATGGGGTAAGATGTTCGTCTAGCTAGTGATTGAGTCTGTATGCTGTTTTATGGGAACATTCCTGCTGTATGTACTGGTAAAACATTCCTGATTACTTTCAGAGACACTGAATGTGGATGTAGAAACAGTTTTATCTTTTAGTTCTATCTTGGCTTAAGTTTTAGGCCATTCTGCAGGTGCTGACAGCCCTATGCTGCAAAGCTTACTCCTGCAGGAAGAGAGGAGGAGCAAGGCCTTTCTGCTGTGGTGAGCTCTTATATCTGCTCAGTTGTTTTACATAACATCCTGCAGGGCTCGGGTTCCTGCAAGTTCATTTTTGAGAAAGTGAAGATAACATAGATTTCCATTCTAACCAGGTTCAGGCTGCTTAGATGTACGTGTCACAAAATACTTTCAGTATAAGCTCTTATCTTTGGATGTGGAGTAAGCAACTGGAACAAGATAATGTAAGACTTCCCATTGCATTAACCTACCTATGGAGTTGGAGTGAGACTCAGCATCATACAGCTCTGCAGTAATTTTCACAGATTATTCTGTTGACTTGTCTGGCTATACCTTACATTTTAGCCCCATGCATGGAAAGAGGGTTGTGCACAGCGTTGGAAGTTCTGACTGGGTAGTGCAGTTCCAATAAACTGTCCTTCACTATCTGCCATGTTTTATATTACCATTCCCAAAACACTGAAAACAAGAAAAAAAAAACCGGGTTTTTTAGAGGGGCTTTTTATTAGTTTAGTTTTAATTTAAATCAGTTCTGTCAGCTAGGCAACCACTTGACCGCATAAATGATTGTGCCAACACAAAGGAGACCTTGCCAAATAAGAAGCAAAGGATGACTGGAGGCAGATTCCTTTAAAAGGAGAGTTATGCTGATAGTGCTTGTGGATCCACCATCAGTACAAGCATTTCTGCTGCCTGAAGCCTATTCTCAAGGTGCTTGGCCTAAAGAAGTGTAAAGTGACGCATTCATCTTAGTGAATGAGCATACTTTGGAGAAGAATGGAACTTTTTACTGTAGGTCAGAGTGGTGATAGCTCTGCTTATCTGATACACCTCAAAAATTTCAGTATTGCTGTTTGAAGATGGGAGGAGACAGATTTGCCCTCACACTAATCTTGATGGCCCTCTGGCAATAATGCAGGTATTTGAGGAGGGAGAAGAGCAAAGATCTCTGCTTTTTATAGGATTGATGCTCTTGCCATCATCGCTTGTGGCTAGTTCTGATTTTTAAGATGGACCATGATGTGAGTTATATTAAGATTCCCAGGGTCAGTTACATGGTCGGGCTTTTGGATCTATGTCTTAAGCTCTCCTCCCAAACCGCTGCAGTCCTGTGGTAGTGCCCTGCACATAACCATTTAGCATGTGTCAGATGGTGTCCCAAGTTCCATTTAACTGGCCCAGTTACTGTGTCTAGACTAACTAATGTGTGACTGTAATAAATGCAAAGCTGTGATGACAGCAGAGCCACAACAGAAGCTCAAGTGAATATAAAAATACACTGGAATGATGAGTTGGATTAACTAAAACTATTTTTGAAATTACTTTTCTGAGAAATCCTTCAACCTAGCAACATTCTATTTAACCCATTGTCACTACCCAAGGAGATGCTGTGCCAAGGAGACAGATCATAGCTCTGAACAACCAGAATTCTAAATGTACAGCATTCATGTAATTTTGTCTCTAAGCAAAAAGTGATGTGGAATCATAACTACAACTGCAGTGAAGAAAGGTTGTCTTGATGCCGCTTTATGTGTCTCAGCAGCCTACATATTCAAGTAAATTAATTGTTTTCTGTGTAAATGGGAGTAGGATATAGATGTTAGATGATGCCAAGTGCCCCATTCTTGCACTTGACATCTGTTACCATCTTCAACTGACAATAAATGGACAGCAGGGCAGGAGGAGACAGCTTTATGACAAAACAATTACAAAAAGCAAGGTCTGCTTTGCAACCACAAAGCAGAATAGAAGTGGAATCCCACACAGAGGGAAGTCCACCTTCTTTGGACATTTGTCAGATAAATCCTGCTCTCTGGAAAGTTTTCTGAGGAAAAAAGAAAACATTTACTTGGAAAGCCACTAGTGATGGGTTTTTTTCTGCCAGTTCTTGCTTCATGTCTACCACCTAGTGTTGATAGGGACAGTTTCCAAGTAAAGACTGCAAGTGCACTCTGCAATTCTCTGTTCTGACCCGCTAAGAATTCAGTGAGTCCTTTGCCTCAGGGCATTTATGCCGTTTTCAACTGAACAACAGCATCTAAAAATAGATACATATTTCTTGAAAGGTCTGCTTATTTCAATGAATAAAAGGTCTTTATTTGTTATTTACTGGAAGAAGACAAAGGGTTTTTTGGGGGGACATTGTACTGAATGACAGCAAGGTTGATCTAACCTGTTTAAATGTACTGAATCAGGGCTGGATCACACATTTTTCTAGTTCATGTGTGGAGGAAGTAAGCTGTGATTTTAGTACTCTTGGGAATAGCGACATCTTCAGCTGGCTTAGCATGTTCTGTACCCAACTGTTGTCATGGCAGGGGCAGACCTTGTCCTCCTACCAAAGACAGCAGTTCTGTACGCAAGTAATACTATGCAAGTTCAAGGATGTACCTTTGAACCAACTCGTTGTAAAGAGAGAAGAAAGATTTTTAAGGCAAGGATGATACTGGTAGTACAAGCCAAAGAAGGTTTATACTGAGAAATCAATGTAAAATGTGAAAAGTGGTAGGTAAGCATACACTGGAACAACTGTATATCCGTGTCACTGTATAAATGAATATGATCAAAAAAACTATGATTTTTAGGGATCTTTCTCTTGATTTCTCAGAATTGTGTTAAAAATACTAGTCAAATGACAGATAAAATCCACCTTGGTGGAAAGTGTTTGCCTTAATGATGTCTGTGATTAAAGAATTGACAAGAAATTAATTAACCATAGGGCAGGAAATAAAGCATTATATCCAGTAATATTTTTGTGTAAGGTTTTGTGAAGAGGGACTTGGGTGGAATTTAGGCCTCTGTGTATAAAGAAACCTGGTGGCTGTTGCTTCTGCAAAAAGGACTTGACTATTTGACTTCAGTTGTGCCCTTATGTGTGCCTGGAACTAACTTGGCTTTGGCAGGGAGGTGTAGGTCTATGCCCAAACATGACTGAGATCCAGAAAGGAGTTGTTTTGCTTGAATACACTGAAAGGAAAACCCTGCAAGTGCAAAGGAAAACCCTGCAAATGCATGCCTCCCAGGCAATATAGACTGTAGAGTACTTACACAATCACCAAATGAAGTAGTGTGTAGTAGGATTTTGCAGAAGTTATGGCATGGCATTTGTCTCTTACCATGTCATTGCTCCCTGCACTGTTTCTATGTTTTCTGTACTTCAGTGGTTACTGGGCAAGGCAGACCCCCTGCCCAGTACAGAACAGGGCCCAGAACCCAAGCTTGCCCCTTCTATATGGGCATCAACTCTGCATACTTTCTTTCTGGCTCACTGAATTCTCCAATTCATTGCTGCACAGCACCAAGCCTTCAGTGGGCAGATGGGGATGTTCCCCCACACCAGCAAAGGCAGGGGGAGAGGCTAGGAGGAGGGTAAATGCTGGCAAAAGACTTAAGAATTGTGTTTTCCCCACCCTGCCTAACTAAAAAGAACAACTAAAAAGAACTTATGGCTTCAACTGTTTGGTTAATTGCAGAGGACTCACTTGTTAGGAGGACCATAGAGATGGTAACTGTAAGTAATGGGATAAAATTTTAACTGTACCTGTTTGATCAATAAAAGTATTATTTTCTTTCAATTAAGCTTGTTAATTGTGGCATGTAGGTGAGCCAAGACATGTAGGCAGACATAGTGTCTTTTATTAGACTGGCATTACTGCTAAAAGCTCATAGCTAAGGATTATGATGGGAACTCATACCTTGTTTTTAGTTTAAGTGACTGAAGGTGGCTATATTAAAGGGGGGAAGCAAGCATGTATTCATGTGGGTAACTTAGACTTATTTCATTTCTTACTACCCAAGAGAATCTATTTGCATGCTAATTTCATAGAAAGTTCATTAAACCAACCTGTTTTATGGCTGATGGATCAGCATAGAGCTGTGTTCTGTTGAGGTCTTGCATTTCTTCCTGCTTACAAAGCCTTTCTAACAGCAACTTTTTGCCTTCTGTTACTGTGTTCGCTCTCTCTGTTAATAGCTTTTGGAAGTGGAGTATGGTGTTTTCAGAGGCACTTTTCTTGAGTGGAACAGTTGACACCTCTGTGGACAAAAGCAAAGTCTGTAGTTAGAGTGCACAAGTCAACTGCTGACACTAAAGTTTAGCACATGCTAAATTTTCCTAGAGCTGTTCTTCTGTTCTGCTCTTTTGGCAGTCTTGCCTGCTGTTGTATAAGGGGTCATTGTATAATGGAGAGTAGGAATGCAGCAGACCTTGTAAAAATCACTTACATGTGAAACTTTCAGTTTTGCCTAGCTACAGCCTTCTCCAAGATGTACTTACATAACAGACAATACATGAAAGTATATTTAATCACACAGAGTTAGTCTGTTAGTACAGTTTGTGATGGTGAACTGAGCAAGCTGTATTCAGAAATGTCATTTTCAGATCATTTGTGTTCATCTGTCTGTAGACAAGACATCATGTTAGTATTAAAAATAGGGGTGAGCCTCCTAAAAACTAAGTTTGTCATCCTCCATTGTTCGACTTTCCCATTATTTAGGGATTGACAATTCTGCAGGAAGAAAAATAAGCTCTGACCTTTCCTATATCAGATTGCATGCTGTGTATTTCTATCCTTCCCATCACCTTTCTCTCTCCATGATTGTGTGCTGTATCTTCTCTTTGGAATAGCTGTCTTAACCTGTTTTCTTGTCTACAACACGTTAGTCATTACATGTTAGACATGATATGTCTAAATGTAATTTCTTCTCTCATTTACAGACACATAGTGTAATATGAGGAAGTCACATCCATGACTCTGATACTGTCCCTTTTTTCCCCCCAAGCAACACAGGTAATTCAGATATCTTGCTTTAAAAATATTTTTATCATTTCTTTGCACATGATTCTTATGAATCAGAGAAGTATTTTGTGATGTTTACCTCATTTATACCAGGGATGAGGACTGAAATAAAGAAATGGGAGTTTTCCTTAGGCCCACATTTTTATCAGAACTCTTCTTTTGCAGATTGTTGTGTGTGAGAGAAGGTTGGTTTGGAGCTTGGTGTTAAGTTCTAGGATTTTCTTTAACTGTTTGAATACTGGAAATGAGAATCTGGCATCCAATTCAACAGCAGTGTATAGATGCTTTTAAAAGTCAGGGGCTCTTACCATCATTACATGTTTTTCTCTTGATACTCAAGGATCCTGTGTTTGCTGTAACATCTCCCACTGAAACACAGAAGAGAAAAATAAGGTGACTAAGTATTTTGCAGAGATTCTCAGGGCACAGTCAGTCACACACCAAAAAGTTTTATCCTGCAAAAGCAAATACAGTGGGACAAGTGACCTGGAGCAATAAGAATATACTAGAAAAGTTAGGTGCTGGCTTGGCACACAAAATCAGAGTGGAGACACATTTATTTGGCAGATGCCTCAAACAGATTAATAACTAAAGCTTCTTTTTTAACATTATTGTTTTACTGTCTGCTGCATCAGCATTCACAGCCCAGATTACACAGTCCTTTTCTAGCATGGTAAAATGTAAACCAGCCAGTTTGGTTCAAATATTCTTGGTGCTGACAAATCCCACTCATGGAGAGCAGAAATGAGCAGTGATATCTTCAGTTTCTGCATTTGGAAGAAAATATGTCTGGAGATTGAGATTGAGTACAAGTGTTAGGCAGGGGAGAAGCAGTGTGTCATCCCATAGCTGTGTGGATGTCATTCCAGCCTCAACTAATACACTACTGTATGGTGCCCTTGGACACCACATTAGGGCTCTGATTCTTGACTGAGGACAGCTGACTTAATAAATTCCTGCTCAAGTTGTTGATCTAGCCTCTGCTGCAGAATGGTTCAAGTCCTTAACTAACATTTGTGGTGTTGCAAATTATCATCTAACATATTGAGAACAATCGGAATTAGTTCTGGTTTACCATAACTCACTGAGCTCTAAGCTGCAGAGGTTCAGTTGCTTCTACAAGAGCATCTCATCTGCCTGGAGCAGGGGCAGGTGCCCCGATGGCTGCAGCAGCTGGCCAGTCATGAGAACCCTTATAGCAGACACAAGATTAGCTGTGTGGTTCCTAGATCACAATACTTTTGATACTAAAATAGAAGCAAACTCTGTTTTGAAAACTGAATCTGCTTTAGGAAAATCAGTATATTTACAAGTGCTCAAATAAACATCACTGTCCTGGATTTTTCTCTCTCTTGACTGTGGTGTGAATTGAATTAATATAGTTTGGGTTTTTGGAGTCCTTGCACTTGGCTTGGTTGCTACAGATTTTTGCAGTTCTAAATGGTACGAGCTTGCAGCTCTCTATCCATCAGACTTTACATGCCTACTATATGACCTCTAGAACCCGCCATGTTTTCTAGCACCATTTCATTGTGTCTCACTTGGGCTTCCAAAAGCAAAGATTCTCCAATAAAATCACTTTTTGTAAATATTCTCACTTCTACATGCCTGTAGAGACCATCTGTGTTCACGAGTATACCCTATGTAACCATGCAGATACAGCTTCCTCAGTTATTTCCCCCCCCCAGTTCTGGCCACGTGTTTTACCCCTACAGCATGGCTCAACAGGCAACCTTAAAACGTTTCACTTTAAACACTTTATCTCATCACTGAAGTTTTTAGTACCTGATAGGACACTTGAACTTTCACATCCCCAGCTTGAGGGACCCAGAGGCTGTCTTCTTAAGATACAGTCAACTTCATCGTAAAATCTCATTTTTCTCCTGGGATTTCCAAGATGCTCATTTTCTTTCTGCAGTGCACGGTATTCGTATTTTAGGTTCTTGTACTTTGTGCGACATTGTTTCCAGTCTCTGTCTATACCACGTTTCATTAACCTTCTGGCAATTTCCTCAAAGATTTCTTTATTTCTTGTGGCGCCTTCAAGCATTTGTTGTATCTTTTCATCTGACCATATGTTTATCAGAGCTCTCACTTCATTATCACTCCAGTGCTTTCCTGCTCCAGTGTCATTAACTGTAATAACTTTAAAGTGATTTTGTGCTTCTTCCAAGTGAATGTGATTGTCTGAAAATATAAACAAAACAACTAGATATAAATGCTATAAATATATGCTAAATATACATATATTAAAGCATAATTGTAACTAATGATTCTTTTAACTTTACAATATTAGTATCCACGGGTGATTACTTTTCTCTTAAATATGCAAAATATGTAGCGAGTGGAATCTCTTATTTCTCCAAGGCATATAAAAGTCAACATTTTGTCAGTGTAATTTTGTTACTGTTGTCAAATTAAAGACAGACGTTATATGTAGGAAAGCAATAGCCCTTAAGCTTTAAAGTAAAAGACTTCAGCATTGATAAGAAAATGGCTTTCCAGTGTGGTTTCAAATTAAAATGGCAAGGCAAAATATCATGCAAACGAAAATGCTACTGGGGATTCAGTAGAAGAAAAAGAAATCTTCAGATGTAAAAATATTCAGAAGTAGGCAGATGCTGCTCATCAGATGAGTACAGACGGCAAAGTTGTACTACAGTATTAATACAAGTTTTGCTCATGACAGGGAACAGAGCTATGAAACTAATTTTTAAGTTTAGTAATAAAGCTAGACTGGAGTCAGAAGTAGAAAAGTAGAATTGTTTACAGTAGAGATTTGGTTGCTCCAGCTTTGGTACTGAAATTACAATGTGAATAATTTCACATTGTAATGCATAAATGCATGGAAATTAATACTCACCTGTTTCGACCATCTGTTTTGCTACTGGCGTACAAGATCTGTCTTCTGAGGTAGTGCTTATAGAATCATCATCTATAGAAACACACAGTTCTAAATAAAATGGACTTAGACAAATAAATTGCTACTATTAGTGTCATCCTCTGTAGGAAATACCTACTTCACTTAAAAATGTCCTAACCCCTTAGTCTGACCTATTAGTTATAGAATTGTAGAATCACAGAATCATAGAATCATTTAGGATGGAGAAGACCTCTGAGATCGAGTCCCACCATTAACCCAGCACTGCCAAGTCCAGCACTAAACCATGTCCCTAAGTGCCCCATCCACATGTCTTTTAAATACCTCCAGGGGTGTTGACTCTACCACTTCCCTGGGCAACCTGTTCCAATGCTTGACCACAGTTTTGGTGAAGAAATTTTTCTTCGTATCCAATGAGGCCATTTCCTCTCATCTTATCACTTACTACTTGGAAGAAGAAACTGACCCCCACCTCACTACAACCTCCCTTCGGGTGGTTGTAGAGAGCAATAAGGAAGCCTCCTGAGCCTCCTTTTCTCCAGGATAAACAACCCCCATTCCCTCAGCCACTCTTCACAAGTCTTGTGCTCCGGACCTTTCACCAGCTCCATTGCTCTTCCCTGGACTTGTTCCAGTGCCTCCTTGTCTTGCTTTCAGTGAGGGGCCCAAAACTGAAAACAGGATTCAAGGTGTGGCCTCACCAGTGCCAAGTACAGGGTGATAATCCCTTCCCTGGTCCTGCTGGCCACACTATTTCTGGTACAAGCCAGGATGCCATTGGCCTCCTTGGCCACTTGGGCACACTGCTGGCTCATGTTCAGCCAGCTGTGGACCAGCACCCCCAGGTCCTTTTCCACTGGGCAGCTTTCCAGCTACTCTTCCCCCAGCCTGTAGTGCTGCAGGAGGTTGTTGTGACCCAAGTTCAGGACCCAGCACTTGGCCTTGATGAACCTCATACCATTGGCCTCAGCCCATCGATCCAGCCTGTCCAGAACCCCCTGCAGAGCCTTCCTGCCTTGCAGCAGATGAACACTCCCACCCAACTTGGAGTAGTCTGCAAACTAACTGAGAATTCACTCAATCCCCTTGTCCAGATCATTGATGAAGATATTAAACAGGGCTGGCCCCAACACTGACCCCAGGGGAACACCACTGGTGACTGGTCACCAGCTGGATGTAACTGCACCACCACTTTCTGGGCCTGGCCATTCAGCCTGTTTTTCACCCAGTGTAGTGTACACCTGTCCAAGCCACAAGCAGATGCTTTCTCCAGGAGAGTGCTGGGAGACAGCATCAAAGGCTTTGCTGAAGTCCAGGTAGACAATATCCACAACCTTTCCCTCATCCACAAAGTGGGTCACCTTGTCATAGAAGGAGACCAGGTTGGTCAAGCAGGACCTGCCTTTGCTAAGTCTGCGCTGGCTGGGCCTCATCCCCTCTTTGTCTTGTACATGCTATGTGATTGCACTTAAGGTGATCTGTTCCATAACCTCTGGCAAGGAGGTCAGGCTGACAGCCCTTCTTGTAGATGGGTATCACATTTGCCAAACTCCAGACAATGTGGACCTCCCTGATTAGCCAGGACTACTTGTAAATAATGGAAAGTGGTTGAGTGAGCTCTTCCACCGGCTCCCCGAGTGTCTTTGGGTGGATCCCATCCTGCCCCAAAGACTTGTGTGTGTCTAAGTGGTGTAGCAAATTGTTGACCATTTCCCTTTGGATTATGGGGGCTTCCTTGTGCTCCCCATCTCTGTCTTCTGGCTCAAGGGGCTGGGTACCCTGAGGACAACTGGTCTTGCTATTAAAGATTGAGGCAAAGAAGATATTAAGTACCTCAGCCCTTTCCTTAAGCTTTGTGAGTATGTTTTCCCCTCCATCCAATAAAGGATGGTGATTCTACTTATCTATCCTTGTGTTGCTGATGTATTTATAGAAACATTTTTGTTGTCTTTTACAGCAGTAACCAGATTAAGTTCTAGTTGGTTTTAGACCTTCTCATTTTCTCCCTGTATAACCTCATGATCTCTTTGTAGTCCTCCTGAGTTACCTGCACATTCTTCCAAAGGCCATAAAGTCTCCTTTTTTTCCTGAGTTCCAGCCAAAGCTCTCTGTTCAGCCAGGCCAGTCTTCTTCCTCACCGGCTTGTCTTTTGGCACATGGAAATGACTTGCTACTGCACCTGAAAGATTTCCTCCTTGGAGGATGTCCAGACCTCCTAGACTCCTTTGCCCCTCAGAATTGCCTACAAAGGGACTCAACCACGTCCGAAACAGGCCAAAATCTGCTCTCCAGAAGTTCAAGGTGGCAGTTCTGCTGACCCCCTTCCTTACTTCATCAAGAACTTAAAACTGTCATTTAGTGCCCAAGAAGCTTCCAACCACCACATCTCCCTGTGGTGGTCCTTCTCTGTTCACAAACACCAGGTCCAGCAGGCACCTGCCCTATTTGGCTCCCTCAGCAGCTATGCCAGGCAGTTGTCTGCCATACACTCCACGAACCAACTAGAGTGTCTCATCTCTGCTGTGTTGTATTTCCAGCAGACATCTGGTAAGTTGAAGTCCTCCCAAAGGATCAGCAATTGTGAGACTTTTCCCAGCTGCTTATAAAGTATTTAATCTGTGTCTGCACCCTGGCTGGGTGGTAATAAACTCCCACCAGGATACCTGTCTTGTTGCCTTTCCCCAATTCTTACCCATAAACACTCAACTCGATCAGCACCATCATTAAGCTCTAGACAGTCAAAACACTCTCTAATTTTCAGGGTACCCTAGAGCTTCTCCTTTCTTGCCTATTCCTTCTGAAGAGTTTTATAGCCATCCATTGCAGCACTCCAGTTTGTGCGAGTCTTCCCACAGTGTTTCCAAGATGGCAACTATGTCATAGTTTTCCTGCTACACATTGACTTCCAGCTCCTCCTGTTGTTGCCAGTGGTGTGTGCATTAGTGTAGGTGCACTTCAGGCTTTTGATCCCACCACCTTTTTAGGGGGAGAAGCGCTGATACCTACATGGCCATTCTCAGGCGCTTCTGTGGTTTCTAACACATCACTAAATCCCTGTGCCTTTGCTGCCACATGGATCTCTATCCCCTGACTACTGAGACAGCAGATCAAAGGACCTCTGTAACACACCATCCCTGGTGTGCTGCCCTCAGGCTTATCTCTAGAGAGTTTGGTTTTATCCCTTTCTACCTTCAAATATATTTTAAAGCTCTTTCAGTGAGCCCTGCTAACTCCTGTGCTAAGATACTTTTCTCCCTTTGAGACAGGTGTCAGCAGGTCTGGTGTCATGTTAAGTGGAACCATGATCAAAAAAATCAACATTTTCCTTGTGACACCAGGCTTGGAGCCAGGTATTGATCTGCTGGCTCTCCCCATTTCTTCCCTCATCATTCCCTGCAACTAGGGGGATAGAAGAGAACACTACTTGTGCTCCTGATCTCTTAACCAGTTGTTCCAAGACCTTGAAGTCTCTCTTGATTTCCTTTAGATTTCTATCTGCAACTTCAGCAATGTCTACCTGAAAAATCATCATTCTTGAAATCATCTATGGATGTCAGAACCCAGCTTTGCTGGTTTTGGGCTCATTTCCTCATGATTGGACTTCTCTGAGGCTGAAAGTTCACTTTTTTGTGGAATTACTTTTAGGTTTGGGAGGAAGAGAAAGACTAGTTCTCATTGTTTTGGTAGGGGATGTCATAGACCAATTATCTTCAATACTGTTTCCAGTAAAGGGTAGAAGTAAATATTTGTTATATGTTTTGAAAAACTGAGTGCTTAGTTTAGGCTCTGTCAGAAATAAGAGATAGTCTGTAAATAAGCAGATTCTTTTGATGTGCTTTCCATAATGGTACTTGCCAATATATGCACAGAGCAGTACCTGGAATTCATATTTACTCTATAACTCGTTTTCTCTTAAATGATTTGGCAAATACTTTTTTTTCATAAGCATGTGCAGGAATAAATTTTATACCTATGGAAAACTTAGAATCAGAAATTATACTCATAAGCATGTCTGTGTGATTTACTTGGGGTACTAGAAAAAAAGTGTGTTTTTTTCCATAAATAAGCACCCTATAACTTTCTATAACTTTCCTTGGGAAAATTCTTGCATCTTCCTTATCACTTTCAGCTATTGGAGATGGGCCAAAATGGAGCTGTAGGTCTGCTCCTAGGCTCTTAATGGCTTTTTTTTTTATTATTTAAACTATTGCCAAAACCCCCCATGGCTTTCATTTATGTGCTCATTCTCTCAACCATACTGTCTCTCTAATCTCTTTCTGTCTTTGGCAATGGCACTTGTGTAGTGCTGACTTGCACAATTACTGTCCTCAGTTGGGTATTATATGACAGGAACAGGGAATTTGTGTGTATAAGGCAGTCAGTTGATCTTCATGACATTTTATTCTTTGCTTCACATTTGTGTGACCTCACTATGTCTCAACTTTCAAGGTCACAGATTAACTTTATCCTCCATGTAACTTGTGTTTCTGTGTGTCATTGTTGTGATGGCACTGCTCTGATGTTGTCCTCAGTGTCATACTCACCACAGTTGTCTTAAATAGTCAAGATCAGCCAATGCAAACAGTTGTAAAGGCTGTGTTGCACTGGATGTCTCAACACCCAAATTCCAGATAACATAGTTGCTGAGAAGGAAGCTTTTCCCTGGTATGCCTGATGCATACAATAGAAATGTTCTTATGGTAGAAACTTTAGGTGTCAAAGGTCAAAGAACTGCTGTTCACAGAATCATTATAATTGATTTTTTTTATTTTTTTCCATTAACTTCTGCATACAAACAGCACTACTGTAGAGTATATTTTGATCCAGGGGGTCAGGTCACTAGATTTCAATGTCATTAATTATTTCCTCTGATGTATTTTTTTTCGTGATCTTCGGTGGTTTCTATGCTCATTTATTCCAGAACATTGATATCCCTGCTGTGTTCTAATGTTAAATTTTAACACTTTAAATAAAACAAATCTCCTGATTACTTGTCATTGAATATATGATTTCTTCATATTGCTGAGGCTCTGACTTCAGTTTTACTTGTGAAGTTTGAAAATACAGACAAGGTATAAAATATTCTGAGTTTCTGAGACAGCTATTTAGCTCTCCAGTTTATCCTCTCTAGGAACTGTGTAAAAAAAACTGTATTTGTGTCACAATCAAATGCAGACTAATCACATCTAGCATAAAAAGAGGCATGTTGTCTGGGAAAATAAGATTTTGTTACAATTATGGGAAAGAGAAATAACAGTTCATACATTGTTGCACTATGAAATCAAGCAAAAACCATATTTTATCATCACCAAGAAGTAGATAAGTATAATTTGCCAGGATAACATATGAACCTTAGAAATCTGCAATTCACAAGATAATCAAGACAAAGTCTTGACCTACCTATGTCAATTGTCTCCTTCTTTATTTGTGTGGCTTCCAGAGCTGCCGGGGTGGAGTTGGCAAAGTCCCCCTCATCCTCAAGGATTTCTGTAAAAAATAATAATTTACAGAGTTCTTATTAACTGAACGGGTCTTGAGTGATGTCTTTAGAATCACCAACTTCAGAATGCCATTCAAGATTTCCTCTCTTAAGACAGTAAAGTTGCCATTTCTCTGCAGAAGTGGGCTTAAGAGCAGAGTGTACCCACTTATTTATTAAAGTACATCCAGAATACCACGTAACAGCTGCATAATATAAGTTTATGGGATAAATGTGCAAACTCTTAAATTATTTAAACCTGGATCAGGATTTGTAGATTGGTTTGCTGATTGTGGTTGAAAGATATATAGTAACTGGCAAACGTGTGGGCAGCAGAACAGGCAAGACAGTGAATTTCATAAGGGGTGCAATGCATACTGAAATTACTGAAAGACTCCGAAGTGACTGATGCCAGAAGTGTCTGAATCAGCTTCAAAAGGGGCAAGGGCCCTGACATTGCATCAGGGTGCTGTGCCTGGACAACTGATCTGCAAGGCTGCCTGCCTGCCTGATGAAGACAATGTCCTAATGCCTGTCTGAGAGCATCCCCACTGCTTCAGCTTTCGAGGAGTTTACATGACATGGGTGACAGAAGTGTCCCTGGGCTCTCCTCCATGGGGAGGAGATCTCCGCTACTCTGCCATTGGCCCACTGCTGTTTAAGGGAGAATTCCACCCCTCAGGCAGGTGGATGATGCAAGCGGTCTAGCTGATCCTCACTTCCAGGTGAGGACACTGCTCTACAGAGATTAAATGGTGAAGGCCACACCACAGATCAATGACAGCAGTTTATGGCTCCCAGCCTGTTCTCGGTCCACTCAAGAATATTACCCCTAAACATTGAGCAATAAAGTTTAATCTAGAGCCATTTTATTAAAAATTACCCCCCCAAATCAATACAGCCTTGTTTGCATCAGATGTTCTTTACTATGTGACCAGCATCATGTGCCTTTTTATTTTAGTTTTTTTTCCTTAGTGAGCCAAGAATGTGGGTAGGGAGCCTGGCTTTTTTTCTAAGGCACCTTTCAGGGTTTTGGGTGGGAGGGCACGAGAAGAGCAAGACTGAGCCAAACAGAACAAGCCATCGACAATTTCTGGCATGGATAAAACACAGTGGCTCCATCTGCATTGTTCAGTGAACCTATAGACAGTTGCCAGCAAATATGCTTAATCTCTACTTTGTGTTTAAAGCATTGCTCTCAAGGCCACCAGAGCAATGCCGTCACAGTCTTTCCTTTTACCCACTGAGACTGATACAAACTCTGTTCTCTTTTGGCACTCTGTCACTACCACTAATTATCCTGTTTTCTGGCTCATGAGGCAAGATTAGTAATTTGTCTCCTAATCCTTACTCTCATGTGTGTGTTATATAATATAAAAGGGAAGTGGGAAACTTCAAAGCTACGGAAACTTTTCAGTGCATGGCTTATGTTTACTCTCCAAGAGTTTGCAAAGTTGCTGCCATCTTTGTCATACAGATCTATGAGTGTGGATACGGAAAACTTGAATGCACAGTTAATTAAGAGTTTGTGTCTGCAGCCCAAATATGCTTAGGCTAAGCCAATCATCAAGAATTTTTGGTTTTGCCCATCTCTGAAACACTACTTCACGCTAGCCCGGGACATATGTATTAAAATATTATCTTTTGGCTTTATAGCTGTATGTTTTAAAATTCCAAGCACACAGCAGGAAGTTTTCAAGCCAACATTAAGTACCTGAGTATGGACTGACTTAAGATCTTAACTTCAAAAAACAGATTTTTAAAAAGCCCTTGCTTAAGAATGTATCTTGGCAATGTCATGACTTATTCCAAATTTGTTCTGAGAGAGACATATAGTAAGTGTGTGGGGCACCAAAAATCCTAAAAAATGATGACAAAAAAAATAATTTGTTTGAAGCTAAATACTTACTCTAGATATTTTTAAGAACATCAGGCTACTGGCATTCCTTAGAAACCTGTTTTTATCTCCATTGTTATTCCCTGGCACTTCAGATTTAATCAGAACAGCTATATGCAGTCTGTGGTCTGTGGGGATTGCTGTGGTGCTCCTGCTCCCCCAGCTGGGCAGTGCTGACAGCGACATGTCAGTAACAGTGACAGACTGTGCAAGGAACTGTAAGGATTTATTTACCTCTGTCTTTTCCTTGTCAGGTGGGTATATGCTGCTTTTTGAGTAACAAATACATGTGGGCAGAGGAGAAAAACAATACCATGACACATGAAATAGCTAGGTGCTTTCCTGAAACTTGTGTATTTGTCTTTTGACTAACACCATCTTAATATTTTCCTTACTCTAGAGTATGGCAAACCTGATTAGGCTGTTTATAAAGATTGGCAGTGGTTACAAAGTTACTGTGTCTCCTAATTCAGATTCACATGTTAGATCTGAGAAGCACATGCGATTCTGACTCAGCGATCGTGAGTCAGCTCGTGTGTCTGCTGTGCATTTACACAACCACGACTGCCAGAAAGCAGATGTCTGCACAGGCTAGCTCCTATGTGTGTAGCCAAGTGCATGTGTAACTCTGGCTGCAGAGTACATTAACTAAATACACTGTTTAGGAAGATCCCCTGATACGAGGTTAACAGAATTTCTAAATTCTTCTTTATGTCAGAATGGTGTTTTTTACAGGTTTTTTTTAAATGCATAAAAACATATAAATTTAATGATTGCATGCCTGATGAGAAACCATTTTCTACAAAAGTTGTGTTAAATATGGAGTAGCTTTTATAAAGTCACATCCTAAATGCTACTGATTGTCAGACATTACTGATATCAAAGAACCAATGTAAGTATCACTGCCTGATTGCCTTTTTCACTATCTATCAGCAAGTAAATTTATGAGTATAGAGGTACATCCAATCTCTTTATTTACCAGTTTCTCACTTCAAAATTATTTGAACTGTCTAGGAAAATCATCTACCACAATGAGAGAACAAAGGGTCTTCATGATATTCTAGACATAAAAGTGTGCATCATTTCTCTGCCTTATGCAATACCTAATTATGTTACCATTAATAACATTAAAGTCGAGATGTCTTTACCACCTGTGATAAAAGTATTTGAGTATGTATTGTTTGGGAATGAGGGAAGGAATTTTGGAAACTGAAACTGTTACTGATGAAGCATAGTTTTGCCCTTTTCCCCCCACAGAAGTTTGAAAAGTAGTCCTTAGAGTGGATAGGCTGAGCCACAGACACTTCTGAAATACTTGCTATTTTAATATTTCCTCACAAAATCAGGACATTTATGATTACCCAAAACAAAATATGCAGTTAAAAAACATATATTTGAGAAGGGAAATGGTAACCAAGGTAAGCTATAGACATCTTAACACCTACTCTTACCCTAAAGGAATGTTAAAGTGTCAAAAATACATACTCAGAATTTTACTAGAAGTGTTCAGTAAACTTCATCTTAAATAACTTCTTTGGAGATTGCAGTCTAGAAAGTTACAATATACAAAATACTGCAGGAAGTTGAAAACTATGTCAGGTGACAGGTAAGGGGCAGTGCTGAATCTGTTATTACAGTGTCTGTAATATGGTCATATATATGTGGTAATTTTACTCGTTGATGGGGAGGAATGGAATTTGATGCATTTTACAAGTAGTCTTAACTGGATCTCACAAAGAGCTGTTTATGATTTTTTTCAAATTTTGTCTCTCTCAAAATGAGGCCCCTATAGGCAATGCACTTTTCATGACAACCTGTTTTTCTCCAGTGAATGCGTCAAGTGCCCATGGTGATCTGGTAAAAGGCCAGTTAGTTTTTTTTTTGGTTAGTAAATTTAAATTCATAAATGTAATTTCTCTTGAATGAAAAAACCAAAAATACTACCATCTGGTATACCTCAAATTACTTCTCATGATCAGTCATGTCTTTACTTACTTGTCATAGCTGTTTCTTTCATTATATGAGGAGCTGCCCGATTCTCTGAAGTAGTGTTTACAGTAACATCACCTGTCAGAAAATTTTTAATTTGATATTAAAATCTTCAAGTTGATGTTAGACCATTTTACATTCTGTAAGACTACTCCTTAATGCCTAATTTAGACCACATTTTGCCTTACACTACTGAAAGAAATCATGAAGTGCTTTATTGTGGGGAGTCAAGTCTGTCAGCCTTCGAGACGTTCATGTGTCTCTAATTGAATGTTAAACTCCTGCTTCCCCTGAAAGTTATGCTTTCAGATGTAAACCATAATGTTTCTTTGTAAAGAGCAGAGTTTATGACCTTCATATTCAGGGCTAGTAGTGAGACTCTTAAATGAAGTTTTCATCCCCTGACATGAGCATTTACACAATTATATTATATACTGATCACATTATATTGTGAAAAAGAATGCTGTAATAGTTCATGCACAGGAGACTGAACAATTGAGAGTACATAGATTAAGTAAAAGTAAATGCACTAGTACGTTGCACTCAGCTTGCTTAAACCAGTAGTCTCTTATTCTTTACATCTTGGGTCATGAGTCTTTGAAATGATTACTTACTATACTGTTTTTATAAAATTCAGCAGCACATAAGCATGTGATGGTTTTCACTATGACACTAGCTCTCGCTTTTAAGTTTTTTAGGTCTGTGCATTTTCTAACCATAATTACAATCTGGGCTTATTTTAGAAATAATTCTTAATTTAATAAATTTAGTTATTTATATAAAATAGAAGACTTTTCAGTTTACCTGAATCAGAAACTTTTTTTATATCTGCAACCTGTAGGTCTTCAGATATATTGCTAACAGAGTCCTCTTCACCTGTGTCTCCAGGCATTTCTGTGTAAATAATGCTAAGTTAATTAGGGCACTGCATTTGTGTACTACATAAGAACAGCTGTGCTGTGTCAAATCAAAAATTCCATTCAACCTCAGAAGCTCTTTATGCCAGCAGGCAAAGTAGGTGCATTAGCAAAATGTCTAGAAATGGCAACTGACAAGTGAATCTTCCCTCAAAATGTTCTCAATAGTTTTCAGACAGAGATTGTCTTTGTATTATATTTTTCTTCTTTCATTACTTTACTAACTTCTAGTCTTATATTTGGCCAACATAATATCAGCCCCTGTGTAGAATCTCTACTGCCTAGTAAAGAGTTTAACATTTAATTCTTTCTTAAACACCAAGCATGTTTCAGGTTGTACATAGCAACAAAAATATTTTAACTCCTAGGTAGAGTGCTCACATCAGTTTACTCTAATTCTGCATTGATCATCCATTACCAAGTTAATTGAAAATAATCACCCAAAACCAAAGGCAAGTTCTGCCAGCATTCTTGGTGCTATTCCTTTCACTGTTTTGACAGTTCTCTCACTAGCTTGGGAGTCTTGCTCCAAAGGCTAATAAAACTGAGATATTTGGGACCCTAAGAGACAGTATAAATGTGGAGTTTTTTTAACCAATGTCTATAAATACAGATTTGTTTGGCTCAATCTCTTAATTTTTCCAGTAACATAGTCTGACCATCTCTCTGATCCATTTCTTTTATCTAAGCTGGAAACAGTTTCTTCTGACATGATTTTGACTGGAATTGTCTCTGTATCACTTTAACTTATCCTATGTCTTCATCTTTTCTTCCTCCTTTTGTCTCTCAGTGCTTTTAAAAAAAGTGCAGGGCAATCACTCAGTGTGGAATAGTACCTTATAATGTAAGACAAAACTACTAGACAAAATAGTAAATTCCCATTCAGTGTTCCCCCCCCAGCAAATCAGTTAATCCTTTTGGTTGCTTCTTTTGAGTTCTTTTAAGGTCTCTCTAGTTCTGGAAAACTAAAAAATTTAAACTATATATGGATGGTTGAAGTACTTACCAATGGAGTCCTTTCCTGATTTTGCTTCTGTCCATTCTGGAGGCCTCTCACTTTCATCATTATCTGATTTGCTCGCTTGTTCCATGGTGCAGTGCCCCAGAATAGCATCCAGTTCATTAAAAAATCTCATACCTTTACTTGTACTCCCTGAGTCTTGGGCACTTTTTACACTCTTGTATTCATGTTTCAGATTTTTATATTTTGTCCTGCACTGCTTCCAGTCCCTGTCAATTCCAAACTTTTGAAGTCTGGCAGCAACCTGCTCAAATATTCTTTTATTTCTCACTGTCCCCTCCAGTTGTTGCTGGATATTTTTGTCTGACCATATGTGTATCAAAGCTCTGACTTCATTAACAGTCCAGTGTTTTCCTCCTTCATTTGCTACTGTTGGAATAAAAGCCAGTGGTTTGGAAGCCTCTACTGCTGATGCTGGATTACCTGCATTATGTGGGGTAGGGGAGAGACACAGATATGGGTTACCTGCATTGGGTGGTTGGGGTGGGGAAAGGATAGAGAATGAGAATGAAGTATACTGTTTCCTCATTACTTGTCTCTCTGGAGAAAGATGGAGCAGAGGTAACATTAAAATCCCTTAAAAACCATTATGAATGGTTATGAATTTGTCAGCATTTTTGTTAATTCTGATATAATTTTTGCCTTCTCTTGATGACCAGTACTCAGATAGCACATGTACATTTAATTAATCCAAGAGGAACATTTCTTTCTTCTGTGCCTTGATACACTAAACTTTTAATGCCTTTGAGAACAACAGATAAGCTGTTCTGGCCTTCAGACGTTAGAGAGAAGACTGCTGATGAGGAGATTGGATGTGCTGCATCAGCACAATAATAAATCAGGCCCCAGTCACTGACACTAGCATCAAGACTTACTTTCTGCATTCATGCCATACTTTTGGTTTTACACAGATGGAGAGATTTAAATTTGGTAAGGATCTGAAGAATCCAATCTTTAACTCGTAACAAAGCACCCTGGTTGCAGGGAGCTGAGGGAGACTTTTGCTTCAGTCGCTCAAGAATATTTGTGTGATAACAAACTCGATTCTCATGGCACAGGACCTCCACCTTTCTCAGAGTAGGTCAATCAAAAATATGTGGGGTTTTTTTGGTAAAAATCAGAGTTTGAATTATCTTTCTCTGCAAAACTAAGATATGTTTTAATTTTCTCCAGTCTTCAATTTTATTTTTTATTATTATGAGGTAAAGGTTGCCACCCATGCAATAACTTAAAACACTGAAATATGATATCTTTCAGGTTTTTAATGTTCCCTTGTTTCTAATTATGAATTTTCTGTAAGACTTCCTTTTGATTATCAGATTAGTTTGGAAAGTGGCTTCCTCATTCATTTTCCAAATCTTTGCAAAAATAATGATTTAAAAAAAAGAGCAAACCAAAAAAATCCCAAAACCAATTCCAGGGCATCATCATGAAAGAGCAAACATGAAAGTGCACTGTAACTGACATTTTTTTGTAGTCATACTGAAGTGATAAATGCCTTTGCCAGTGTCTTATTCTACAAGGGCAAGCCAGATTATGAGGGTTGGATACTTCATAGTCGCAGAGCTTTGTGTGATGGCAGAAGTACCTGACCTTTGTTTCTGCACAGAGCTTCAGTGGATCATACTTGTGCATAATAACCTATCTGGGGACTAACTTGTCCTAGATAGTGCCATTCTTTCCTAGTCTCCATAATTTGTTCTAGTTGTGAATAAACTGTACTAACAGGTATAATTTTTTTTCCCTGATAGTCCTGTGTTAATCAGGACTCTGCAACAGACAGCTCACTGATAAGCAGTTGAGGAGGGTAATTTTCAGGTGACGCATCAATTATGTTTTCTTCATTTTTTCCTGAGGGAGTGAAAGAAAATGCTGATTTACAGGTGAATGAAACCATAGGAATTGCCACAGCTGATAACTGCCAACGTCAGATAGGCCAGAGAGGAAAGGCCTATGGGAGGAAGCTCATTTCCACCTGAGCTCACTTTCAGTTGTGGATATTGGTTCACATGAGTTCTGGTGACTCAATATATTGCTCGTTCATACGCAGAGTAGAAAATGGTGGGTATGTTTGTTCCTCATATACTTTAAAAAGCATCATAACTCTAGATATCCTTCCTACAAGCACCGCTTTGAAACAAAGTTGTTATAGTCAGTGGGAAGATTTTTCTTATGTCTTAAATGTATTTTCGTTCTATTTTGTTTTTAAAGCAAATTGTTAGGATATATATTATTACTTTATCTGAAAGACGCATTTATGCCATATTTAATTTCTTTCTAAGCTTTCTCAAACCTGAGAAATCTGCTGAAATAAAACCAAAATATTAAACAATATAGAGACAAAGGGCTCAACATTTTTCTTTCAGTGATGTCTAAAATAGTGCCTGAAACCTAAAGACTAAAAGAGGTACTAGGGGAAGGAATTTTAGTACTAGTACGTACATGAGATTGAGAGCCCATGCAACTGAAGTTTTGTAGAAAGCAGCTTCCTCAGAACTGAACTTTTCTGCTTGGCAATATGTTGAGCACTGAGAAACACAGGAATATTTACAGACATATTCCTGTAAAATTTAATTCAGATACTTTCTGCAAGAAAAGTTTTGTTTATGTGCATGAAGTTTTTTATGTGTGCATAAATTCCATGTGAGATTCTGGTCTCCTCCTTAATTTCTTTTTATGCCAGGCAAGAGGGGTGCAGTGTGTAATATAAGCACTATAGGCTTAGCCAGGGCCTTGTTTTTTTCCTGAATACAGCACCGTGGAGATACTGTAATGAAAGTTGTTCTAACTGGACTGTAATGTATGCGAAGGCATACAAGGTATATGAAAAATGGAAAAAGCACGTAGGAAATTCAGGACAGTGCTGCTGTTCATCCAGGTAAAGAATCAGCTCATCAGCTGCCTAAATCTGCCTAAAATGTATTTCAGTTTCTCCATTCCCTTCAGCCATCCCTTGACGGGGCTCACACCTAGGATCCTCTTCCTCCTTCTGGCTTGCCAGGTTTGTGCCTTCACTCTGTAATGACTTTCCTGAGCAAAACTACTAGAGTAGTACATTTTCTGAATAAGTTATTCTGTGGTTGGTTGGACTGACCACCCCTTCCATGGAGAGACCACTTTGCAGTTGCATTGGAGACCACTGCAAATCTGGATTGCTCTGCATCATTCTCCTGGCTCAGGCCACTTGCTCATGCTGCTTTAAGCATCCATGCTTTAAGAAGATATACTAAGGAAAAGCCACAAGTTGATATGGGTATCTACACTACTATTTGGCTTACTTTCCAGTAGCATTTAACAAAATTAATGTGGTTAATGCAGTTAATATGATTAAGCTCTAGCATGGGATGTGTTCTGGATGGTAATGGTGGTCATGCAGGTATTACACCAAGTACAGTGGTCAGTGTCTAGTGATGCACGAGGCTGCTGAGTGCTAACACTGGGAAGAAGATGGTGCAAGACTGTGTCTGTATTAAAGCTGTGTTGATCAGAACAGAACGACAGCATACTCAAGCTATCAGAAAGTGCTCTGACAACCCATGCTGCCTTTTGGTTTTTCGGTTTCTCTGCACCATCATACTATACCTAGTTGAACTGGTCTGACATGAGACATAAAGAGTAGTGGATCTCCTGGAGAGTCCTCATCATCTTCTAAAGAAACTGATAGTTCACCTGGGAAGGAAAGAGTTTTTAGGTGAAAAATAGATATGGACTAAATTAGCTTAAATTGGTTTAAGTTAAAATGTCTGTACACAATGAGATGATCTTGATAATCTCTTCACTTGTAGTTAAATTAAATTTAAAATTAATTTTGCCTGTCCCCTTAAGAGGACATGACTTACAGGAGGTAAATTATTTTATATCTTGCATATGAAGCCTGTTTGAAATGCTTTTTAAAATTCTTGTAGAAACTGACTTGATTCTAGTGACTGATATGCTCTTCTGACTCAGTGTTCAGGGTAGATAGCACATTAAACGTATAGTTTGAAAGTAGATAATGTAAACCAAGAGACATAAAGGCAGACATTGCGTATGGATTCAGATAACCACAAATCCATTTATATAATAAAAAAAAAATCATTTTTCTTCAGAGTTTGAAGAAAACAGGAATGTTCTGGAAGGAGTTCTGGAAATATATGAAATTCATTAACAGTATAGAGAGACTGTGAAAGTATATATTGTGACTTGAGAACAGATCTATTTGGAGCTGACAGGATTCAGTCTAGCTTTTTCAAGCATAGCATTTCTACGTGTTTAAAGAGCAACACTATAGCAATTGCTATGTAAGTTTAGAAAGCAGGATATATGTAAGTCAGGTTCTGAACCAGCTTAGTTTTCACAGAGGACAGACTTTTTAGTTGGCCAGTGATAATACGCTGTATTCAGCGTACCATTTTGACAGGAGGTTTGAAATGTTGGTGCACTGTACAGAGAGCTGAGCTACTGCGAGCTCCAGCCAGGCAGGGCACACAGATCAAAGCTGCCTGCTCCAGGGCTCTGCGGTAGTGCGTCACAGGGAACAGTAATGAGGCGTGGTTAGGATGCCACCTTGTATTCCTGACGTAGGTGAAACTGAAAACTGCATTTGAAAACATTATCCTAAATCCTCCTGACTTTCAGCAAGGCTCACAATGACTCATAGATGCAGTGGCCTGATCTTTGACTGCTCCCAGCTGTCCGCTTGGCTTCTCTGGCAGGAGCTGCTGCTCATGCCTCCACCTCCAGCGGCAGGACTGGCGTTTTAGCTGCTTAGGAGCAGCAAAGCAAACTAGGGAAAGAGAAATAAATTCTCTGTTGGAAGCCTGCTGAGTGTGCCATCGGCACTAGCATGAGCAACTTTAATTACACTGTCATACTAAGAGAGGAACAACTTTTTAAGTAAATAAGAACAGTTACCACAAAAAGATATTAGTATCTTTGACAGGGAAAAAATAAAAGCGTTTGAAGAGCAAAAAAGTTACTCAATATGAGTACTGGACACTTATTTTAAAAAAACTATATAAAATACTTGTCAGTGACATGTTTAAAGTCCAGACATGGAAAACCATGTATGAGTGGCACTTTCAAGTCAGCATTTCTGCAGGATCTTTCTGCATGATAATACTGTTATTATGATGCATTTCTGCTCAGACTTGACAATCTTTTTGCATTTGCTGAGGTAAACTGAAGGTCAAGCAAGGTGACCACTGCCTTAGTATTTAAACATAAAGAAAGAAATATAAAAGAGAATAAGAAACATTAATTATTACATGAGGTTTACTTTTTCTGTAGATAATGTACTGATTTATTAATACTTGGTTTAACTTGAAACAATCAAACTGGTTAACAAAATAGGAAGGTCATTCATTTGAATTCTAAGGAACAATACCATTTTTCACAGTGCACCATCACTCTACATGGATTTTCTTGGTTGTTGATTACTGGAATAATACACAAACTACATTTTAAGAGAAGTGAACATGTTTACTTATGCCATTTTTAATGATTATTTAAGCTACAACTCTGCCTCTGAAAACGTGTTTTGTGAGGGCAACACGAACATCTCTGCTTGCACTTCTACATGTGCTTATGTATAAAGTGTCATCTTTTCATGAACAAGCTGTATGTTGCTACCAAGTTTGTCTGAAGACACTCCTCTGAGATTTGATTGAGATTTTCAGTAATAATTTCTTCAACTACACTTTCAAAAGAAAACTGATTTTACCAGATAAGGAAAAAACCAAACCTCAGCGAAACACTATAGAAATACCACTCAGTCCTATTAAAAAAGTAGTCTCTTTTCTTTCCTTTCTTCCTTCCCCTTCTTCGCCCTCCCCAGTAATCTCCCAGTAGCTGAGATAATGCAAAGACGTGCTATGTATCTTTACATTAAGGATGTGTATGAATATTGAGACTGTGGCTAAGCAGAATGGTAAATATATAGTGATTTCTTTAGGAGCCTGCTCAGTTCCTTGTCATGCTTTTTAACAAAACAAGTTATTATTGCAACCAAGTTCTTCAAATAAAATAAGATGTGCAAGGTGAACAAGTATTATTTGTCACAGGTTTTTGTTTGTTGATGGCATTTTGTTCTTGCTACCCAAGTCACAAGCCTAGACATCCTTGAATTCCTCCAGCCATGTCAAAAGGAGATGTCTCTGCCTCTTTCAAAAGAGAGGAAGGACCGTTTTTTCCTCCTCTCCCATTACACTCTGTGATTGAAAGGGAGAAGCCCAGGAGGGGACATGCAGTCCATACTGGGGCAGTGGCAGTGGGCTGCCTTTGCCTGTGCAGGGATTTGCCTTTTCTTCTGAGGGAGCAACACCATCAGATCTGCCCCCACAACAGAACTTGAGAGCATCAGCTGCAGAGCCACCAATGCCATTTTAGCCTTAAAAGTGCCCTTCAAAGGGCAGGGCACTGGGCCCCTACTGGGCCGGGCAGGCAGGTGGAGTGGGGCTGAGTCTCCAGTACAGTGTTAGTTATTTGACCTATATTCTTAAATGAGAAAGTTAGTGATCTCACAGTTCCCTCTGCCCCTTGTTATGGATGTGTGCACACATTCTGCATAATTGCAGGACACATTTCTAGCTTTGTGTGTTTTCTTTGTGGCTGAATTGTAGTTGTTGTGAATATCTTTCCATTTTGATTTTTGCCATTAGTGTTTCAAGTATTACAGTTAGTTGCATTTCATTTTTTTCTATCTGTAAAACTTGTTTGTTGGGTTTTTTTTTTTGGAGGGAGTAACAGAAATGCTTGTGCATTTAAGGGATATATTTAATTATATAATCTTTAAAACCAGACTGTCCTAATGCTTCAAAATGAGGCGTGTCTCACCCAGAGATAATTTTTTTAATATATATTGTACTTTATGATTCACAACTTAACTTTTGCTGATTTAAATTTGCTAGAGGTCTAAGGCAGATAAGAATTAGAATTACCAGGTGCCAACTACAATAAAACACAGAGGATAATCTAATGGCTGATCCTCAGATGAAGGACACTCTCTTAGTTTTGTGTAGTCCTCAAAGTGTAACAGCCTTGTATTAGCCTCAGTTCTGCACGTTTAAAAATAAAAAATGGATTGCAATATGCATTGCAGAGAGCACGTTAAAATATTATAAAATTGCCATTTTAATTTGAAGTGATTTTGACAGATTCGAGGCTTTCTGCTGGTGATGACAAATTAAGGTCAAGCTTTTTGTTCAGGTAAACAATGACAAGAAAAATGGCAATTTCTTTTCCTCAAATCTGTAAAGCATTGTGAAGGGAGACATGAAAGGGTACCAGGACAGGCTAGATGTCCAGCTCCTCTCTATGCCTTTGACAATTTCCCCTGACACTAATGTTTAGTTTTTTGTTTTCTTAAAAAAGATTCACAATCTTAATGTAAATTGCCACATACCGTGGGAACAAACAGCTAAGCTGTTAATTTCTCTTTTTTGTCATCTTATTTTGGTACTTTATCATCAGGACTTATGCTTCAGTGGCATTTAGGATGTGACAAGGAGATTTGAGTGATGTCAAATAGCAGATTGACCCTAATAAAATGTTAAGCAGAGCTTAAATGCGTATGTAGAGAAGGTTGAATAAAACAAGAGATGCAAATAATTTAGCGAAACCCCCTTCAGAATAATTCGTTTGGTCTGCCTCAAAATAGTCTGACAAATATGATTTTTTACGTTCATTGCTAAATCAGAGTTTTTAATGAGACATTATTAAGCATCTGTTTCTCCAATATTTAAGTAAAACTGCTTACAAAATAATTTAATTTACCTGAGTTTTCATACCCAAATATTAAGTTACAGAGAAACAAGAATAAAAATCCTAAATTTCACCTGTATTACAAATAATGATTTTTTTAAACACCACGACAGTTTTAACCTTTTATCTATACATTTACATCTGAACTGTAAAAACCTGCTTCCAAAGTACTGCAAGTGAACGGCAAAGGGAAAGAAAACAGCTCTTTTTACTTCAGCGTTTCAACCCAGTGCACGAGCCTGGACACCAGCGAGTACTCACAGAAGCTGCAATACAGGCAGTTAGCATAATTTTGCCGGAATTACGCTGTATTTACAGACTTCGACACTGGTGGGTGCTAACATTTTATTCCCCTGCGCGAGGAGTGCATCCAGTCACTTCTAACAGCGCTGCCGGGGCTGCGCAGCCTCAGCTCCAGCGCCAGGGAAGTCGGGCTTCGGTTTTGTTCCCTTTGGTTTTTAAGCAAAGAGAGAAAAATAGAAGCAAAAACAGGTTTTTTACCTTGCGCGCTGTCTGTTGTGGGGCTTGTGTTCAGCTGCGTCTCAGTCGCAGAACACCTGCCGTTCTCTTCTGCTGCTAATTGTGTGACAGGCTCATATCGCAATATGGCATCCAGATCATGGAAAAACTTCATGGTTTTAGTGACATCCCCAGAGTTGTGGGCATATTTAACCGTTCTGTATTCATACTTCAGGTTTTTGTACTTTGCACGGCACTGTTTCCAGTCCCTGCACACTCCCAACTCCTGTAACCTTTTAGCAATGTAGATAAATATTCCTTTATTCCTCAGGGTGCCGTGCAGTTGCTTTCTGATATTTTTTTCTGACCAGACGCTTAACAAGGCTTTAACCTCCTCCTCAGTCCAATGCTTCCCGGCTCCACTCTCCATGTTGAAAGTGACCTGGAAATGATTCACTATTTCTAGCCAAGATTTTGTTTCCTAGGAAACCAGACGGCTGGTTGTCAGTAAGCTCCGCCGAGATGAAAGGATCTGGTTTTACTGGCTCAAGCTGCCAGAGGGGAGTAACTTGAGACACTGCCAAATAAGCAGGCTCGGGGCTGGAGCCCGGCGAGGGAAGAGGCTCCGGCGATGGGGAGGGGAGAGCTCAGCCGGGCCGGGGCTGCTTTAACCCTTGTTGGGGACGAGGGAGTCGGTGCGAGCACCGGGGTGTGAGGAGAGAGGCAAAAAGAAGAGCCGTACTCTTTCGTTCCTTTAAAAAAAAAAAACAAACGAAAACAAAGCAACATGACATCCAGCCACCCCTACACACACTCTTCTGGCCTGTCCTTTGCCAGGTGGGTGCAGAGCATCTCCTGCTCCCGTGGGGGCACCCCCGCGGTGCTGAGCCTTCCCCCAAACAAGTGGCATGTCAGGATCACCCTGCCTTACATCTTCACATCTCCATGCACTATTTGCTTTTGAACTGATGGCCATATATACACGGTTTTTAACTTATATTAGTGGTGTTTTAATAAAAACCGGTATACTTAAAAGTATGGCTCAACTAGTAAAGTGATGGAAGGTTTGTGGTAATGACACTGAGCTCCCATGTCTTTTGTTAGTGCGACATGTAAGGTGTAACCCAGCACCTTGACCAGGGCTTTCCTTGGGGTGTCTGCTTCCCTCTTCCTCCCTATTGATTTTGTTAATATTTAAAGGGACTCTGACAGTATTAAAATTGCCTGTAATATTAACATTGTGACTACAAGTTGCTGAATGCAGTGTATCAACCCTTAAGTTTTACCACCAGTCTTTGTGTTTATAGATAGGACATCTTCCTGAGTTAAAGTAAATGGCTTTAAGAATGATTTTTGCACTGAGAATGATTTTTACCTGAGACTTGTTTTACTTGAGAAGTGGAGGTGCCCAACATTAAATTTATGCAGTCAAATGCTTTTATCAGAGGGTCTGTGTAGCTTTTCCAGGTGTAAAAGCTAGCTTGTCTGCTGAAGTGCAAAAATGCAAAAGCTTCTGCATAGGTGATCAGTGGAAAAGATAATCCATTCCTGTAGGCAAAACCATTAGTTTTTAATAACATCCCAACCCAAAGCAGAAATACAATAGCACTATAGAGCCTACTACTGTCGCCTAGACCACTATCCCTTTGAAAATGGCTTTTCAGATCAAGCATCTGTTTTTATTTTATGCCCTCACTGAAATAGGACTGCAGCCTGTGCCAGTGCTTATTAGTGGAAAGATTCCCACTGAATTCAGTGGGCTTAGGCAGAAACCTTATGTGACTGTTTTGAAACAAAGCATAACATGGGCAAGAAATCAATTGCAATTACACATCTGCAAAATAGAGCAACAAATAAGCCTGCATTAAAATTTCATTACAAAATCAATCCATTGTATGTTAAAGTATTTCATATTTTAAGCATTTCAGTGCTTTATGTTAATTTTATTTTGTTCTCAGGGGCCAGGAGAGTGCTGGAATTGTGACAAGTGATGGAGAGTCATCCCAGGCATTCAAAGTGCACAAGGTAAAATCCAAATGAATGTTTTGTACATTCTTAATGGAGATGCGTGAAAGTTTGTTTCTGCTAAGAAACAGTATAATTAAAGAAAAGGTAACATGTTTTGATGGATTGTTTTGGTTTTGTCAGTGAAAGTATCTAATTTTGTTACTTGTGTAATTTCTGTCTTGAGAGTATGCTTAAAACAAACATGCCACCATTGTCCTGCTGGGTGTATCTGTGCATACACACCTGCTGGGTATATCTGTGCCACATACAGTGGCAGACACACAGAAGTTATCCAGATCATGCTATTGATGTCACAAAAACTACTTACCAAAGTCACGCTGCATCTCAGGTGTTAACTGCAGATTTAGAAGAGCATTGATGCAACTTGATCTCAAGAGAAAAGAAATGCAGTTAAAGGTTATGCACAAGGAAAGGGATGACTAAATCTTATGTTAGCAAGACTCAAGAAGTGGCAACTACTTTACCCATAGGTAAAGATAAGCAGAATATAAGACTTAATGGAGGCCTGAGAAGGTCACACAATCTTTCTCAAGCCAAGGGAATCCCAGGGGATGTTACAAGACACAAAATGACCACAGCCTCTAATGTATTATGTCAAGAGAATACCTGTATGCTCTGGGGATATTTCTGTTCATTCCGTATAAAATAGTGATCAGGGAAAAAAAAAATAACCATCCTGGAAAAGGAGAGGATTGGAAATAAAAATACATCAGCAAAAAAACCATGGGGTAATTAAATAAAAATACATCAGCAAAAAAAACATGGGGCACTTCTTGTTGTATGTCCTCTGACCACAATCAGAAAGCATTCAGAGTTCTCAGAGGAAGATTAATTGAGCTGTTCAAATCAGTCCAAGACTAAGAACCGCTCTGCTGCAGCAGCATATGTATCTATGCATGACTGCTCAATGGCTCATATAAAACCTTTTCTCTCAAGCATCATGTTTGTCCCCTCTTAAGGCACTTCCCCCCTCCTATCTGTTATTTACAGCCTGATTCACACACACACACACACACATACACACACACGCGCGCGCACTTTTAAATGCACCTTCTCAACTTTAGCAGCATGTTATCTGTTCTTCATTCCTGCTCCTGCTTGAGTTTCGGTTTTCCTTCAGGTTTACAGGAATTTCAGTTTCCTGTAAAGCGGGCTGCTCTAGAAATCCCAGTAAGTGAAAAAGTGCTTCTCAGAATGAACTTCCACCAGGTGATATAATAATTTGCAGTATCTCCATGTTACTGAGCTACAATACTTAGCTGTCATGCTAAGAATTTAATTGACTATCTCATCATATCAGCTTTGATATTTTAAGAGTTGGAGAGCATGTGATAGTTTCTTTTATCCTTGAAATGTATTTCTCAACTACAACACTTTTTAAAACTGTAATAACCACAGTGTATTAAAGAGCCTGTGTAGTCCAGTTTATATGACCTGGTTAATCCTGGAAGTGGTGCTAACATAACAAACATTTGTGTCTCTTACACTGGTGAAAGCATATTTAGGACTCTGACTGAAATAGACAGTGCAGTCTATTTCAGAGGAGTATTTGAAACTGCAATTAAAAGATTATATACTTGTGTAACCAAATTGTGTAAGTTACTGCAATACTTAACTTTGCCACATCCATTAACCTGTGAACCGGCAGATCTGTCAGGCTAAAGTTGGCCTAAATAAAATAAGAATGCATGACTGCATTTCTGTACATATATGAGCACACAGCTTTAGACCACCTTTATGTCACCTGTGAGACCACAGATGATAATTGATTTGGGATAAAGTTTGCTGACAATTAAAGCAAACCCATACAAGATTGAGGCAGTAACTTTTTAACATGATAATAAATATCCTAAAACAACATACGCAACCACAGCCTCTTGGTATTCTGACTCTACAGCAGTTACAGCAGAAAATACCCTAAAGTTGAGCCTTCTTTTTTGGTTGAGCTCTGAGAACAGCTCAGCCAAATTCCTTTCTTTCTGTTCCATCTCAGTCTCCTGTTGCTGCATCTGCAGTACAGGTTATGAGACATTAGGAGCTTCGGACCTCTCCTGTGTATCTTTGAAGGTCCTAGAGGAGTGTTACCCGTCATGTATACAACAATTACCATGCCTGATAGTCAAACCAGGCATAGAAGGATGTAAATATTTTCCACAGGCAGTGGCAGAAGCAGGAGTTTATAGGAGGGCCTGGAATCCAGACATAATTTGTACTCTCGGTGCAGCTTTTCAGACTGTTTGTGCAGCTAAATTGTCTCCATGCAGTGCTCGCTTTTGGCTTGTTGCCAAAAGAAGCTCCTGTCCTGACGTCTGACTAAAGGTTTTGATGTATTTCTGCTTTAGATATACTTGGCTATATAAAAATTGAAAGTAAACAATAAAATCTCTTGGAAAAAACCTTTACTTCTGACATTGTCAAGAATGATAGTGGAATCTAATAAACATTACCGTGAACCCGCTTTAAAAGTTAATCCAATATACCACTACATTGTAAAAGATATTCTCTGCCTAGAACTTCTTCATGCAACTTTTTTCCTTCCTTTCCTATCTTCTGGCAGTCTTTTTTCTGGTGTTTTTAAGCAACACGACAGTTTGGTAGTGTTTTTCAGAAGATGTATTTTTAGTCAGGGAATAGACTGTTCCAGGAAAATCCTCAGCACAAAAATGTACATTGCTTTATTTAAAAACAGGATTAATGGGATCTGATATACCACTGTGACACCTACTCAGCTTCTTTCTTTCCCATGTGTTCCAGGTTATTTGCCTTTTTCTTTAAGTTCCATTAATACTGCACCAAAACCAAACAGAAGAAGAAATGAGAAAGTTACCAGGAAAATAAAACCAAACAGAACCTTTTTTTCTTTTTCTCCCAAAGGGAATGGGTCTTATAAATCATGTCTTCAATGCAGACAGCCTGAAGAAGCTGTACCCTTCAAACCTTGGTATTGGGCACACAAGGTACTCCACCTCAGGAATTTCTGAGCTGCAGAACTGCCAACCTTTTGTCGTAGAGACTCTTCATGGGAAGATTGCTGTGGCACACAATGGGGAGCTAACAAATGCTGCACTGCTCAGGAGGAAGGTTAGTACCTCCTTTGGGAGGTTCTGGCATCATTTCTTTCTGAGTGTGAGGCATCAGTGAGCAATAAGGTTGCTGTGACTTTTCTTTAATATCAAACTGTTTGGGGTAAGGAAGGAGTACCCTAATCAAAATAGATCATTTTGGGGGGAAAAAATCCTGTGCGGCAGATTCTGCCTTGATATCTCTTTCTGGATCTGCTTTAGGCAATGTCATATATTCGTATTTTACCTCTCTTCCCAGAGCATCCACAAAGCTAATTAAATGCCCCAAACATGAATTTGTGCCCTGAATATTGGTGGCATTAGTTTTGGTTGCATGTGGAGCAAAGGAATAAAAGGGAAAAATTTAGTGTAGATGATTGTACTACCTAGTTTTACATAGTTGGTTTGTTGGAAGAAACTTGCCATTATTATGACAGGATCAACTCAAGCACTGATACTTTTTAAAATATTTGTTCATCGCACAAAGGTGTTGTTAGATTAAAATCTGAGCAGTGTTATGTGAAATGTTTTGATGCTGGTAACACTTTTGGTTTGTGTCTTAAAAGCTTATGCGGCATGGTGTAGGACTGTCGACCAGTTCTGACAGTGAACTGATCACCCAGCTGCTGGCTTTCACACCTCCTCTAGAAAATGATGACACAGCCGACTGGGTGGCAAGGTGAGGAGAATGGGTTTCAGAATCAAGAACAGCAATTTGATCTCGGCATGATATGCAGCTGTAAATGCACACAGCTGTTCACATGACACAAGGTTATATTCACCTATGTCTCATTCCAGAATAAAAAACTTAATGAAGGAAACTCCAACTTCATATTCATTGCTAATTATGCATAAAGACATAATCTATGCAGTACGTGATCCATATGGGAATCGCCCGCTCTGCATTGGTCGCCTTATTCCAGTAGGGGACCTGAATGGAAAAGGTAAACCACATATATATCAATATGCATATACATAGTTTGTGTGTGAAATCACTGATATAAGTAATTAAAGCTATACTTACTGAGGTGTAGGTAGGAATATGTGATGCAAAAGTCAGTTTTGAGAAATCAAAAAATTGGCAAGGAAAAAATAATTTGTAGAAAGTTTGCAAAATTCTGTTCCCAGATAAAGGGAATCCTAGTGGCTTGGTGACTGCCACAGTTAGGCAGCCTGGCTGTAATACAATATTTGTGAAAATTTAATTAAGGTCTCATCGCTTAAACAGGAAAGCAGGGATGAACAGCAGGGTTGAGGTTGGAAGGGGGCTCTGAAGGTCATTGGGCCAAATCCCCTGTTCAGACAGGTCCACCTAAAGCCAGTTGCTCAGGATTATATCCAGTCCAGAAACAAGCCTGGTTTCTTTCTTTCTCCTATAGTAAAGTGGGAAAAACGTGCCAAATTGCTCACAGTGTATTTCTGAATTCCAATCACCCAGCCACATGTAATACAGTAATGGAACACTATACAATCAGTTTATGGGAAAAATTCCTTGTGTTCCTGTTTAGCTTGCAAATTGACATTTTCTCTTAAATGAGATTAAAATATCTTAATTTGTTTAAAACTAAAATAATTCAATGACTAAGTAGTAAATGCTTCCATATCTTCACAAAACTGGGTAATTTTAACCACAAGAAAAATTACTAAGATTTTTCAAAGCATACAAACATTCCTACCCTACATAGCACAATTTGATCTTTCCTGTGGTTGCCTCTCAAAACTCTCCTTATTGGAATTCAATCCAGGATCCATTGTGTTCAAAAGCATCTATCTGTCAATGCATAGGAAAAGTAAAGAGTTTCTTGTGTGAACAAAAGTAGGTATGTATATCTAAATTTACTGAACTAGAATTGTAAAAGTTTGAAATACCTGAACTGTCTCTCTTCATGAACTGTGAATATGATGCTGTTACTTCCACTTCTGCCTAGAACAGGTTTAGGATGTTTATGTTGTGGATTTGCTTGGGATTTTTTTAAAATAATATTACAGAAACGGTGGAATGCTTTACCTTTTAGTTAAAAATTACAGTGGTCTTTAACTGCACACTTGGCAACCTAAACCATAGCAAGCCAGACCTGCAGCAGAAGTGCAGTTGTGGGTGGTCATAGTTGCAAGAACTGGGGACTCTAACTGAAATCTTTCATTTCAGGAAAAGATAACACTGAAACAGAAGGATGGGTTGTCTCCTCTGAATCCTGTAGCTTTCTGTCTATAGGTGCAGAGTAAGTGCCCTGATTTTCACTTTATCTGAAAGGTCTCCTCAGGCAGTGGTTAAACATTAAATATCAAATTGCCAAATATCATAATTTGTAACAACATGAAAGACATCAAGGATTAGTTTGTTGTGGACGATTTTTTTTTTCTGCCAGTCCTGGTTCTTAGCAGTTTATTTTCTCAAACAGATGATTGTAAAAGAAGAATTATATAAGATAAAAGCAAATTGTCATGTTAGGATGTTCAAAAGCATTTTTTCCTGTAAGATGAGACTTATTTATACTTCAAAACTATCATCCACATTCAGGACATTTCTAACTGCTATGTATTTCTTTTTCAAGGTACTATCGTGAGGTCCTTCCTGGAGAGATTGTGAAAATATCCAGACATGATGTCCAGACACTGGATGTTGTACGAAGACCTGAAGGAGATCCATCGGCATTCTGCATCTTTGAATATGTTTATTTTGCAAGACCAGACAGTATATTTGAAGGTACGAAAATGTAACGTACAGAGCTCTTCCCTAAATAGTGGGAGACGTTATCCTGGAGCACATGTGGAAATTATCTGCGATCATAGTAGAGTACCACGGAATATAAGCTTGCCGAGCACAGCTGGGATAGAATGGGTTGGCAAAACTTTTGAGATAAAACTCATCAGGAGGAGCAAACTGGAGCTGAATTCTCTGTGTAGTGATACAAATGTGAAATGCTGGAATATGACAGTATAGAAGGAAATAAAAATGACCTTATGCAAGTGATTGCTTATCAGTTCTGGAGCTTTTCTAACTTCTATGCCTGCAACTTGCCACAGAAATTTGTACAGCAAAGCAAGAGGAAATCTGAATTATGCATACCAAGAAAAACACTTCTTGTTCTTAGGTCAGATGGTGTATTCAGTCCGGAGAAGATGTGGACAGCAGCTTGCTATTGAAGCACCCGTGGAAGCAGACCTGGTCAGCACTGTCCCAGAGTCTGCAACCCCAGCAGCTCTTGGTTATGCTCAAAAGGTATATGTTACTTTTTTTCCCCCCCAAGCATGTTTACACATATCTCTTTTTGTAATGGACTACGATGATATGGGCTGCTAGAGTTGTGTATTGATAAAGCTTTATATCTTCTATATGCAGGGTACTCCTGTTGAGTCATCTGCCTTGTTTTTTCTGTCATTATTCCTTTATGTTAAGGTATTTAAACGTTTTTTGGTTACTGTGAAGTCATACTAAGTCCTAAGATTGCTTTAAAAAAACAGTAACTGAGAATAACAAGTCTTATATATTAATTCTGTTTAACTGTCTCCTGTTTGCAGTGTGGACTACCGTATGTTGAAGTGCTCTGTAAAAATCGATATGTAGGGAGAACGTTTATCCAGCCAAATATGAGGTTACGGCAGCTTGGTGTTGCAAAGAAGTTTGGTGTTCTGTCTGATAATTTTAAAGGAAAACGAGTTGTTATCATTGATGATTCAATTGTGAGGGGCAATACCATTTCACCCATAATAAAACTACTGAGAGAATCAGGAGCAAAAGAGGTAAGGTAATTTTAAGTCAGTACATTAGAGATGTAAATAGAAGTTGATGGGAGGATAAAGCACAGGGGTTTATCTTTTTGTCTTAATTTGTACTATACATTGCTTCCTTATTTAAAAGGGCAAGCGTGGAGAAAAACAATGGCTAGTGCATGTTTACTGTGAAGATGGGTTAAGAAGGTTCTTTTGTATGACTGTGACTTTTGGGAGATTAAGATGGAGAGGAGCAGGTCTCCACTTAAAAAGCACTATCTGGCAAATAACAAGAGAATGGAAAAGAAATTAGTTAAGATCAGAAAACCAAGTATTCCTGATGTGTAACTTGTGGACCTGCATAAAACACAACCACATACTGCTGTAAATACCACATGCCTTAAGTTACCGGAGCACCATTTTTTTAATCGGTAAAGATTTTTTAAGCAAAACGGTGTGCAAGTCAGACACTGGAGCAAAATGTTACACAAAATGGTTGACTTTGTAAACTGAAACTCGTACATCAAAGACTGAACACCACAGAAGAAAAGCAAAATCAGGATGGAACCTTTTAAGAACATTAGGAAATACTGTAAAAAGTTCTAAAGCTGTCTTTCTTTCTCCACCTGTCTTGACATTTGAAAAAACTTCATCTTCCTTTTAACCCTTTGATGGTTTCTGTACAGTGCTGTGTTTTGTTCTTCATTATCATTTGCAGAACTGGGACTTAGCTGTTGTGTTATAATCTGCTGACTCAGTTTATAGTAGTCTGTCTTGAAATTATATTTTTATTCAGGTGCATATCCGTGTGGCTTCACCTCCCATAAGATTTCCTTGTTACATGGGAATAAACATTCCAACTAAAGAAGAACTCATTGCCAACAAACCTGAATTCCGTGATCTTGCAAACTATATAGGTAAATGTTACTTGGGTTTTTGGGTTTTTTGTTGTTTTTTTGTTTGTTTGTTTTGTGAGAGAGATTTCAGTTATAGGTATTTTATAGTCTACTTTAAAATAAAGCCCAACACAGCAAGGCAATTGTAGCAAAAGTTACTAAAAAATTGCAAGGCTGATAAGCTAGGTCTCTGCATTGTGAGTGCTCTACAGATCAAACCAATTTAGCTACATACTTTTTTTAAACAGAGTTAGGGAGGGAGCTGTATTTCTCAAAACAATAGAAAGTATTAAAATAATTGCATAAGCACAAGTTACAAATAAAGTATGACGACAAAGCGCTCCAATACTTAAAAGCACCTTCCAGGAACCTTCACAATAAGGAGATACCAGGAAGAAAATAAGTCCAATGATGAAAAGCGGATGTAGTTTCACTTTCATGAGACATTCACAAAAATATATTCAGAATTTTTAAGCATGCACTGATTTTTGTACAAATTTAAATTTATATAAATAATTTAAACTGAATTATATATTTCACTTTAAAAGAAATGATATTTGAAACCAAGCAAAGAATGTCAAAAAACTTCTAACGTTTGTAGCAGAACAAAAGAAGACTCAACAGTTTATGTTCCACTGTAAACTCTGATTTCTTGTGTTAAATACTTACTCTCACTGTCTAATACCACAAAATTATTGTGAAGGCATGCTGAAATATTTCAAGTTTGTAGGATCTTATTTTTAAGTGTCATTCACTACATAGTGTCTGCAAATGATAGAAAACTAATGATCTATCAAACTTTCCTACTGCTAGGAAATTTGCATGAACTGCATAATGAATTTTTTTGAACATGATGGTCTTCCCCCCTCCAAGTCCCAGTGAGGTTTTGTAGTCGTCAGTGCTCAGATTTGGGAAGCAGCAGCCACACACACATCTGCTTCCAGACCTGAACTAGGGTAGCTCTGGGATACTACAGGGAGTTTAAGGAGTCTTAATACTGGACTTTGCTTCTGTTTCTGCAGTATGTGTGATGTATTTGTTCCCAACTCAGAACCTTCTGTCTAGATTTTAGTGAGTTTGCTCCCTGCACAAAGCACTTGAGAAGGGCAAGGCATATGACGATCAGATAATTTTTCAGTCATTCTCTTTAGGTAAGGTGATCCACCTGGCATCATAATCCTTACGATAATGCAGCTGCATTTCCAAAGAGCATTGCATTTGGTACAATACTGCAGTTTTAACCAATGAATTCTTCATTTCCTCTAGGAGCAGACAGTGTTGTCTATCTTTCTGTAGAAGGGCTGGTATCATCTGTGCAAGAAAGCATCAAAGAACGACAAGAGAACAGCCCTAAAAGCCAGAAGTCATTTATTGGAAAGATTGGTCATTGCACAGCATGTCTTACTGGAGAGTATCCTGTAGAGCTAGAATGGTGAATTTTTAGTGGATGGACATAATTTCATCTGTTGTTGAATGTACCTTTTTCAGTGATGCCTTCTTGTTAAATAGCCTCCTTGTATTTAGGTAATACGTAAACCTTATTACAGCTAACTAATTACTGTTACTAAAACACATGTTTAAGTAAAGATTTACAGAAAGTCTTATGTGCTGATGAAAACAATGTAAGCAGATTAAAATACAAAATCATGTAGTTTTGATGCACAGTTGTGCCTTCCGTTTTCTCACAAAATGCTATAAAAACCAAAGTATTTTTAATTATGTAGCAGTCCCAGATTTTGTTGCCTCAGTCTTGCCCCGAAAGATATCTCTGTTAGACTTGTTCACAAATCATGAATTTTGTGGTGTAATTTCAAATTATCTTAATGCAAAGGCATCTGAAGTTTGCTTTTCTCCTTAGGAAAAACACCAGATTCTGAAGAATCAAACTGCTTCCTCAGCAGTTCTTGCTTAGGCTTTTTAAGAATGGAAGTACCTAAACAGCCTTTATTAATCAAGGCCTTTGTAACAGATTCTATGCACATAATGTCTAACATATAATTTTAAAAAATGAAGACTCAGGGAAATGCTCAGCCAAAAGCTCTCTAGTTTCGTAATTCTAAAATTCTTTTTTAGAAGTCCAGTGTAATTATATTATCTTTGTGTGCTTCTATCAGTTGGCAATACAACGTGGAAGGAGAAAAAAAAATACTTGGCACTGCCTTTCTGTTTTCTGTTTTACATCTTGTGTTCTCCAGGATAAGTCCTGACAATTTCCTAAGTCTGAGCTAATGCTCAGTGTGCTTTTCATGTGTCAACGTCCAAAGCAAACTAAAAAAAATAAACGTAACAGTAAAAATTAATTTTAACAGTGAAAATGATATATCAAACAAAGACTGAGTTGTTGTAGGAGTAGTCCTGTTTTACTACATTACTGCTGTTAGAATAAATGTAATATTTGAAAAAAAACAAGTGTTGTGAAGAACCAGTAGCTGTTACATGCATTGTATTCAGTTGATCACAATTACACGGTTACTTGTATACAGGAAGATCACTTGGACAATGAACCACTAGCTGAAAATGGAAAAGCACCTTTTGAAAACTACTGCAAATTTACGCACAATTGTAAAAATATTTTGTATACCTCATTTTTTTTTCACTGAATACCAGCAACTTAATTTTAGGTTTTCTATATAATGTTGTGTATTTTGGCCTTATAATTGTTTGTGACGCTGTTAAAAAAAATAAACAGAAAAGTTTAAGAACTTTTTCCTTCCCCATCATCTTCCGTAGAGATGAGAATTCCATTACTGGTGATTAAATTCAAAAGGGAGTTTTCTTAGGTGGGATTTGTAGCAATTGTGCCTGATGGACAATCACAACACAAAAGTGCTAGTTAGAAAAAGAATGTAAATACATTTAATGGAGTCAAAACTGTGTCTTGTGCAGTGGAATAAGAACCTACTTGCAGTCAAGCCCATGGGAGAACTCAGATTTGATGAGCACTGGGCTTTTACTGTGCATTCTTCACCAGAGCCCAGGTCTGCATATTGGGGGGGATGTATGAGGATCTCCTCTAATTAGCAAGTTTGTTTTTTAACAGAAGCATAACAGTTCATCTGGACAGCAAACTGAACAAAACCAGAACAGGTTGGACACTGACCACCCCCTCTTCCAGAGTAACCAGGAAGGAGTATAAGAAAACAGAAAAACTGTTAGCAACATTTTTCACTGTTCTTCTTTCCTGCCCCTCGAAAAAGAAGAAATATTTTTTAAAAGAAGAGATAAGTTGAGCCCTTAGGTTATAAATACATGTGAGGAGCCCTTTCTACTTGAGATAAACACTTAGGTGCACAGTTTAAGAAGGCTGCAAGCAGAAGTTGGTCTGTCTGAAATTGTCCATAGGACAGACTGTAAGTGAAACTTGTTCAAATACTCTTTCAACATGTTTTCAACAAAACTATTACTTTTGAAGTCCAATAATAATTTCTTCAATGTGATTTGAGCACTGGGTGGCATAATTCTGATTTAAAAAAAAAATGAGTCCTATTGTCTTTTCCCCCCTTCATGTTAGACATGAGAAGTTCTGTTTGCTACTGTGAGCACTGTAATTTTTAGATGCACTACATGCCGAATCTTTACTACTACATATTTTTCAAAACCTTAAAGGGGAGATAATTCTCAAGTGTCATTTTATTCTGACAGCTGGACTTATGCTTTAGGTTACCAGGCCTTTTTGATCACATACAGCCAACACACACATACCAGTGAGTATGCTGAAGGAGAAAACTCTGGCTTTAGGTGTTGCTATTTGTGTTAATGTTTTACTGTGAAACCGTTTCTGCTGTATTACCAATGTGCAACTATGCCAAACTTTCACTTACAGAATGTGACAAAACAGTGGATAGCTGATGTTTAACTTCTCCCCTGCCTAACATTAAAAATGGTTGTGAACTGGTCTTCTCGTTCTCTCTCCCTTTGCGGGGCTCGCTGGCAGCACACACAGAGGCTTCTTTAATAAAGTCACCTTGAAAGCATCTCGGAGCCGGAGCAAATCATTTACCGTGAGGGTGCTGAGGCACTGGAAGAGGTTGCCCGGAGAAGTTGTGGATTCCCCGTCCCTGGAGGTGTACAAGGCCAGGCTAGATAGAGCTGTTGTCTGTGAGAGGTGTTGCTGCTCATGGCAGGGGTTGGAACTAGATGTGATAAAGGTCCCTTCCAACCCTTAACATACTACGATACAATGATGTCAGGCCACTACCAGTACCCCCTCCGAGCACGGCTCCCGCTCCCGTCACCCTCACTCCTTAGTGGCGGCCCTAAATCGCATCCGGTGGGCAAAGTCTGGCCCCGACCGCCCTCGTTGGCTCCGCGGGAAGCGGAGCGGGACAGCCCGGCCGAAGCGCAGGGCAAGAGCTGCACCCCGGCTCCCGCCCGGACATGACATCCCCGGCCCGCCCACGGCGTACCACCGGCAGGGAGGCCCGTACCACCTCCTGGGGCGGGGGGGGTACGGACACACGCCGACGGAGACGAGTGAACGGTGAGCGTGGCGGCGGAACCTTGCCCTTCGCCACAGCCACCTGTGATTGTCTAGCCCATGTTCCATGTCCGCCGGGGAGCTGGGGACAGCGGGGCAGGCTCTGGCGCGCCCGCTGTTCCTCCCTCCCTCCTTCCGTCTCCCCCTCGGGAAGCGATGATACCACCCAACGTGGGACTCTGGTGGAGCGGACGCTACTTGCGGATGCCCAAACGGCGCGACGGCTGCTGGCCAATGAGAGCGCGGTCTTGCCAGGGTCCAGCCAATCGGAGGCGCGACCGCAGCTGGGGGCGGGGCCGAGAGGCGCCGGAAGTGCCGCGGAGCCCGCGGAGTTCCGGGAGTCGCCGGGCCGCGCTCATCCCGAGTGGAAACGGGAAAACCTGGAAGGGGCGAGCGGGGGCACAGCCCAGAACGGTCGGTCAGCCATGCGGGCGTGGCGGGGGGGCTCGGGGGGGAGAGAAGGACACTAGCACGAGCAGTGCAAAATGCAGAGCCTGGGCAGTCCATGCGTCGAGGTTTCTGTTTGCAGAGGAAGGATTCGTGTTTCGCTGTTCCACTGAAAGAGTTATTAATTAATTAAAGTTTGCTAATGGAGATATTAATTCAGTAGTTCCCTGCTTTAAAAATAAAGATGTAACGGTGAGGAACAAACTACCTATGTACAATGAAGCCTTAGTGCATTGCTGTGTCCTGGGCTTTAGGATAAGACGGGCAAATGAGTCAAGAATTCAGCTTTAAAACATTGCAGTCTAAGGTACAATCGAACTGTGTGTTCTCTGCCATGGATCTTTTTTTCCCTTCTTGGTAGTGTTTTGTATGCGTTTATAATTTGGCTAAAGTGTTAGAAGTAAGGAGGTGACAGTATATTTTGGTCTGTTATTCTTTCAGGGGGACTGGAGCTGCGCGGCCAGGATGACGCTTCAGGAGCTGGTGGCTCGGGCAACCAGCCTGCACTCGGATAGAGCAGCAGTTTGGTTTGATGAATGCACTGGGAAACCTCCAGCTTTCTACACCTACGCCACAGTGGTTGAGCTGGCCAGGGAACTAACAGCTTTCCTTCAAAAGTACTGTGACCAGCAAGGCAAATGTGAAATAGGCCTTTACTGCTATCCAGGAATAAACCTGCCATCTTGGATCTTAGGGTAATGGTTTGAGCGTTTGCAATGTGTGTTAGGTTTTTAAGGGTCATCTGTATGAAAGCAAATGTTACAGTTTGTTTAGATTTTTAGTAACAGCAAAAATACAGTAATACCACAGTAGTGCAATTAAGAGGTGCTGGAGTGTTGCATTCTTTAAAGAAAAAGATGGCACTATTACAATCTTTTGAAAAGCCACTGCTGAAAAAATTTTTGAATCTTAAGTTCTAAAGGTCTGAACAGTCTGTAACTGTATCCTTTTTTAAAAAGCAATTTAGCATATTTATAGAAATACCAAAAAATTGATGACTGGTATTTTTGTTCTACTTGTTTGAAAAACTGAGGTGATCTGACAAATATCTATTAAAAAAAGGACTATGCAGGTTTTTTAATGTATTGTCTTGCTGGCAAAAAAGATGCTCTAAAAACAAATTCCATGTTTTAAGCTAAATGAATATTGTTTAATGTTCCATTACAAATATTGCAGAAAGAAGTAATGAGCAATGCAACACTAAAATGATACTGATTAATGAATGGCTAGGAAGTTGAAATGTTTGTGGTCTAAATACTCATGTTAATCCTGCATTTTAAAAATACTGCTTCTGCTGATTAATTGTAACGTTTGTATCTTTTATATACGTATCTTTTGTATCTCTAGCATTTATGATGTATTAGAGAATCACAGGATCACAAGTATATTTTCTTCAGCTGATGTTTACAGCAGCAGTTGTGCTTCCTGGGGGAATGGTCTGTGTCAGTATTTTTCTGTTGTCACACTGCATGTAAAATACACAATAGCACGAGAAGAGGTACCACAGTGGAATATAAAGATTTTAGTGGAGTGAGTGAGCTCTGTAATCATAAACCTCCCATAAGCCCTGAGAAACGTTCTCACTGATCAGGAAACACTTCCAGTGCAGCAGTGGAGCAGAGATGTGTAGGCACCATCTCTGGAGGTGTTCAAAGTTCTGAACAGTCCAGTCTGATGTCAGGGCTGGCTCTGCTTGAGCGGGAAGTTGGACTCGACATACTGAGGTTCCTTGCAGCCTGTTTTATCCTGTATCCCAATGAACTGAGCAGTAACACAGT